CAACTTTTATTCTCTACTACTTGTCATCCACAAACTGATGGTCAAACTAAAGTAGTTAACAGGACTTTAGGGACATTGTTGCGTGCTATCATTAAAAAGAACATTAAGTCCTGGGAAGATTGTTTACCGCATGTTGAGTTTGCTTATAATAGGAGCGTGCATTCTGCTACTAAATTCACACCGTTTGAGGTTGTCTATGATTTTAATCCCTTAACTCCGTTAGATTTAACCCCTTTGCTGTTCTTTGAGTGTGTGGATTTAGATGGTGCTAAGAAAGCTGAATTTGTGAAGACTTTGCATGAGAAGACGCGACTGAATATTGAGCTTAAGACGGAGCAGTAGGCAAAGCAAGCCAACAAAGGGTGCAAGAAAATAGTGTTTGAGCCCGGCGATTGGGTTTGGGTTCATATGCGCACGAGCGTTTCCCCAAACAACACTCTAAATTGCTACCGCGAGGGATGGACCATTTATGGTGTTAGAGAGAGTCAACGATAATGCTTACAAGCTTGACCTTCCAGGTGAGTATGGTATTAGTGCTACTTTCAATGTTTCGATTTGACTCTTTTTGATGCAAGATGCGATTTGAGGGCAAATCTTTTGCACTGGGGAGGGAATGATGTGGACATCGAACCCTATCGAGGAGGAGGTGCTAGGGACCCATTGTTCTATCCGCTAGGCCCGATCACTCGAGCGGAGAGCGAAGGAATTCAAATAAGTGTCGGCATCATGGTTCAAGATATTTGGAATGGAGACAATCTGGATTCGAGACTTGAAGATTCAAGCTCCTTGGCGCAACATAATTACTCTTGGTCCAAGCGAATTCAAGGAGCTTAGAATTGACGAACTCCGAATTGGCTCAAATTTGGATGGACGCTTGGAAACGAGCCGCTGATCATTACACACTACTTTAGTAGTGAATGATGACGTTTTTTAGTGATTTGGAGTCGTTTAGTTGAACTTTTAGGCCTTTTTTCCATTTTTGGATGAATTTTTAGTAATTAAGGTTATTTTTGTAATTTTAATCCTAGTGAGGTTAGGATTAGGGTTAGCACCTATATAAGGTTGCTTATAGATTTCTAAGAGGAGGAGGCAGAATTTTATATAGAGAAGTTTTCTTCTTGAATTCTCTTGAGGACTAGATCTTATCAAGGCTCCTCATGTGGCGATCGAATTCAACTTATCGAGCAAGATCGCGAATTCTCTTGTTCGTGGCGTTATTGCGTGGATTGGTTGACACAGTTCGTCAACAGTCGCGTTCATACCGATATTACCAATCACAGGTTCGATTGGGGGTTGAGGTCAGCAATTCGTAACTCACAGATGTTCGTAGAACGATTATCTTCCGCACAGATTCATATCATAACTCCTGTAATCTTTCTGGCCATTTTGTGTATGGCATATCATCAAGAGTGAAATAGTATTTGGAGGTCGAAGATCCAGAGCGAGAGTTCTGATTATGGATGTTTACTATTTCTGGTTCAGATGAGTTTGATTCCATATCCGCCTCAGGGGGATCGGCCATAAGAATAGCAGGTTTAGGGAAATTTGGTGTCTTAGGGTCAGAAGGTGAGCTTGCTTATGAAAAAAAGAGATTATTTCAGAGCTGGAAGAGATATTTTGCTGGGATGGATCGATTGTAGCAATAATTGGCAGCTTCCGTTGGCATTGATTTCGCAAAAAAGCTTCTAATGGGTTTGAAACCATGTGAGAAGAAGGAGGTTCCTAGGAAGGTTCAGGAACGTCTAACTTCTTCTCCTGCTTTCTTTTGTTTTTCCATTTCACGAATGCAATTTCAAAGTGTAACAATATCACTCCAATCTTTTTTGGGGCTTCTGCAATGATTGAGGCAACTGAAGTAACTTTTGGAGGGGGGATTTCCATCCGAGTTGGGTACTAAGATTGAGAAAATGGATCTAGCGTTGGAACAAATATTCCTTCTTGAAGAAGTTTAATTTGCCTTTGTAATTTTTCCATTTCAGCAGTCTGGTCTTCTAAATAATGATGAAAAATATTTTTACCCGATTCCATCTGCTGCAATTTATTTTAGAATGTCTCAAGCAACTTGTTTGTGACCAAAGCCATTTGATCAACCTTCTGATCAACATAATCAAGGCGGGCTTGGACAGTTAAAAGTTTTGTATCAATTGTCTTGAGGACATTATTTTGTGCTAGAGCATTTTCTGACTGCTAATTCAGAATAGCTTCAGCAGCAGTAACTTTCTTTTGTCTCCTATGATCATCAATATACGTAGGATTTGGAATCTTTGGTATGTGTCGGGACCGATGGTGTGTGTCTGTAAATTCTTTTAATGCTGGAAAAAGAGCATTAGAATTTGTTCTTTCCAAGGGCGAAAAGTCCGAGAGTTGGAACATATAGACAGTTGGGAGTATTGGTGGTGGTTCAGGCTTTGAAATACAAGAAAGCTGAGGTGCTTTGGATAATTGCAAAGGATAAGAATTTTTCCTAACCCATATTTTGATGGGTTTATAGAATGGTGAAACAACTGGCTTTTATGGTAGAGTTTTTCTGGGTGGTGCTTATGGAGGTGAAGGAGGTTTACAAGGTTTAGGGACTAGAGGAGGAGTTTGTGGCTGGGGTGGTCCATATGAAATCATAAATTGGTATCTTCCTCCATCCTCACTAAGGGGTCCTATGGTAGGATTCCCATCAAGATATCTCTGGTGGAGACTATCTTTGGACCGTTTCTTTTTCTTTTTGGATGGTCTGTCATTTTCTTCGTCATCAGGAGGGCTTGTGCAAAGGGAACATTGACAATCTAGATCCCAGAAATAATGTCCTGTTCGAGAATCCTTGTAAAATGAATAGGTCGTTCCTCTAAATCAAAAGACCCGATCATAGTCTTCGGATCCGAGTCACATTCCTCAATAGGAACATCAGCATGACATGGTTGCATCATAAAAATAGTAGGAAAAATAGAAGAAGAGGCTTATTCCTTTTCCTTACTAAATTTAATGATAACCGTACTATCTTTCTTTTTTGTAAATTGGGATTTCATGGATTGGATAGGCCTGGAATTCTGATGGAGTTTTTCATAATTAGTTACCTAGGTGTTAAGGAGTAACTTAACTAATTGATCCCGAGGAATTTGTCTTGGTATATGAACACAGGAAGTTTGATCGTTATCCACTTAGATAAAAAGAGCATCCTCAGTGCCAAGAAAATTTAGATCAATAGCATGATTCTGGACCCGATATACCATTTGGTAATGTAAAGTTGCAGCTATAGAATCAGGAGTGTCAAGGGCTCCGGTGAGCTGTAGCTGGACTTTAAGAGCAGAAAGGAGTATTGGGTACGTAAGGGCCATGTTGAAATTTGGAAACAGTGTCACGAACACTATTCCAGCATTGAGGGTTGTTTGGATCGTACCAATACAAGCATGTTGATAATCTAAGAAACGAGTATTCAGAAGGGCCATTCGAGCAACAACAGGTAATCCTTTTCTACCATGAAAAGATATTGCAAGACGGATAGCACCAAAGTGAAGATGCGTATGCCCTTACTTTATCCATTGACATGGAAAATCAGAAGGTATCTGGAGGATAACAAAATATTTTTGCTGGGTAGCAGGAATAGGATGTTGATTGAATTGAGATGACTAAGCATAATCCTTAACTTCTCGGGGTGTATATTGAATGAGCTGTTTGATGGAACGGAGCGGGAAAAAGGAGGGAGGTTTTGCGAAAGCAGAACACGGATTAATAAGCAGAAGATGAGTTTCCGAAATTTTACTATCTTCATTAAGGTATGAAACCTCATAAAGATAGTCAATTTTAGAAACATTTGAAGTGCGAAGATCTAAATGGACATTTACAGTGACTGCTGGACTGGAATCAGTAAAATCACTCATAACGAAACAAATCTACCTTTTCCACCTAGTATTTTATCTAAAAATAAACAGATATGAGCCAACCAAATTAGGCCGAACAACACCAACAACAGTCATGGACGAGCATGCGTCGCTCACAAGCCACTCATTCAAATTTGGGCTCGCCTATCTCAGTCTCCAAATGCCACTCATCTAGATTTGGCTTCCCCTTTCCTCCCGTTTCTCTTTGCCAAAACAAACTTCCGATCTCGAATTCTGCTCTAAGGGGATTAATTACTCATTGAATTAGGGTTCTTGGAGGTCGATTTCTGTGATTTCTTAAGGGAATTGGCCACTTTGGGGATCTTGAAGATCTCTCTTTCTTCTTGGTGGTCTTATGGTGAAAATGGACGCGCGCTGTGAAGGAGGCAAAGCGAAGCAAAATCTGTCGAGCACACGCAAAAAGGTGGTCACCGGGTCTAGTTGTCTCTCTCATCTAACTAACTACTGTTCTCATGTGATCGAATTTTTTGTTGGCATTGGAACAGAGGGCGACATATCACCAAGAGGGAGCAAAGTAAAATCTCCATCCATTCACAGATTCTAAAGACTTCTTTGTCAGTATTCATCGTCCATCATCTCCAGTTAGCGTCGAGTCTCCGTAGCCGGCCACCACCAGTCCATTGGATCCATTTCATGTGAACAGAACACATTCAAGAACATGGAAATTTAATTGATCAATCGATTTAGGGTTACAAACAAAAAAAAAATCGTTGTTCACAGGTTATATGCCGACTGGGCACGCCGATGAGCCACGTTGAATTTCCGGCGACCTTGATTGGAGTTAACACTAAGGTGATTGGTCTTTTAAAAAAAATGGCACTAAAATGATCCGAAAATTTTTTTAATACTAAAGTAAGCGTCGTACATATTTTTTTGCACTTTTAGTGTCCTTCTGCCCTTTATAGAAGATCTGCAAGGACCCAGACAGATGATGAGAACCAACTGAATTCCAGATACTGAAGATTTTAAACCTGGACCGTACAAGAGAAAACATAACACTACAAAATCGCAGAAACGTTGTCCTTGAACTACCATTACGCTTCGACCAAAAAAAAAAAACTACCATTACGCAAGAATCTTCTAGCATCACGGGTTTGGAAGACCAAGGACGATTAACAATGCCTTCAAATGTCATGTGATGCAAAAAATTATGTTAAACAAAGTCAGATCACATGAGTATGTTGCTCAGACAATCCCATAAGAATTACCTTCTAATCATCGAGAATTAACCACGCTAGCGCTATGCGACCCAGAATCCCATTCTGGAATGCAAATCTGAACGTTATAATTGAGTCAGCCTCGAACTGAGTATTCTATGTAGACGGATTTTGAGATAGATTTCCAAGACTGGGATGCTTTGTAGTTTGTAGCCCAATCCATGGTAGGGCATCTGTTTGTATGTGTAACTGCTCATCTTTCAGCATATTTGGCTTGACAAGTTCTACAATGGGCTACCAGAAGTACTTCGATCTGAAAACACAACCATTCAGGTTAGGTGTCGGTATGTTGTTTGGATCTTGTAACGATGCAATTGCCAGTTGCAATTTTCTTATAATTTATCATCAGTATTCCATATAAACTAAGATTTAGATTAAACTGTCCACCATTTGCGAAAGTTCAGCAAATGATTTTGATGTAAATTCTGCTTCTCCGTGCTCGTTTGTTTATTTTGCATATTTGAAAACTTCTTGTCTAAGGACCTATTTGGTAACCAGCCAAATAGTGCCTGATTCTATTATTTTGTTCCCGGGAACAAAAAAAAAACAAAAATCCATTTGGTAAATTTTTTTGTTCCCGAAAACAAATTTGTTCTCAGATATAGTTTTGGAATAGAATCAAGAATAAAAAAAAAATTTGATTCTTGATTCTGGGAACAAGAATCAGAAACGGAAAAGAATTTGTTTTTTCTTCTTCTTTCCTAGCTTGTGGCCGGTGGCCGGCCATAGGCTAGGGCTGGACCCTCACGGCTTGGGTGAGGGTTGGACCCTCGCGGCCCTCGTCCCAGCCGCGAGCCGCCCTCGCCTAGGCTGTGAGCGGCGAGAGCTGCCCTCGCTGGATCTGGCGAGGGCTGGACCATCACGGCCTGGGTGAGGGTCGCCCTCGCCAGACCCTCACCGGATTTGGCGAGGGCATCAGCAAGGGTCCAGCCCTTGCCTTGGCCATGGGCCAAGGAAGCAGGAGAAGAAAAAAAGAAAAGAAAAAAAAAAGAGAAAAAAGAAGAAAGAAATATTAAAAACTCCAAAATATTATTAATAAAAAGAAATTTTGTACAGTTTACCAAACGTATTTTTGTTCTTTTTCTATTCCAGGAATAGAAATTTACGATAGTTACCAAACGCCTTCAAATGCTTAAAAATTATTTCCGAGAATGGAATAAAAAAAAATCATTTCTGAGTAGAAATTGTTTCCGGGAACAGAATGGTTACCAAACGCACCCTAATTCAGTTCATAGTTGAATGTTGCAATAAATAAAAACTTACTGAGTTGGTGAATAGCTTCCAGAACTTTGAGGCTGACTTGGTTGCACTTTCAGATTGTGATGTTCATAGGATTCTGAGCAAACTTCATGGCATTACCGTGATGGATCCCAGTATATGTCAGTTGATTCTAGTTGATTGTTTGATTGCTTTACGGTACTAGCATCTTGAAGATTTGAGATTTAAAAGCATAATCTCTAGTTTCAGGTCAAGGACATTTGAGGATTCTGTTGTGGTACTTTCATAGAGGTTTATAGCTATTATTTTCTAAATTTTTTTCTTTTGGTTCACATCTCAAGTCCAGGATTGATGACTCAACCTCTTCTAGTCGTAGGGTCAAGCATGTAGTTTGAGACCAATAATCCTACACAAATAACAAATCATTCTTCTAAACTCAATAAAAACTTCACAGATATCATGTAAGAAAGCATCGAAAATAAGCAATATTTTAATCGAAAGTATAGAGAATGCGACTATACGAAGGAAACAGTGACGCCACACAAATTCAAATAAGAGTTGTCCCTCCCTCCCACCAACACCCCCCCACCACGAAAAATTTGGGAAATTCATAAGAGTTCAAGACGTGAAACTAGGCAATTAAGTGATCTACCAAGACATTAAGTGCAAAAAAGCAGTATATACCTTGTAAATTCTGAACTGTCGTCCTGGCAAACTCCAGCTCTATGCTAGAACCACCAAACAAGCTCCACAGTTATAACTGGGGAAGAGAGTAAAGTGTTTCCTTTACAACCAGAGGATAAAGGTTATAATAATTAAAACCAGTTTTTCTAGGAAGCAAGATCGAGCAGGATCTAATGCATGAGAGGCCGTATGCAGTTCCTTGTCCAATTGTGAATAATATTTGCTTGTGTAATAAAAAAGTGAACTTGAGTTACCCAGTTAATAAAGAATATCAAGATTTAGTGCTCAGATGATATCGAATAGGTTCAGTACCGTCATTAGTATTGCCTTAAGAGCTTGTGACATCAATACTTTAAAAAAATAATCACGAATAGATTCAGGGAAAAGTAAAAGATCCATCTCTCGCACCTTAACATTCATTACAGAAGCAACGCTACAATCTTAAGGGGCTTCATAAAATTGTTTGTAGAGTGAACAAGATGAAATACATGATTTTGGAGTGAAAAGATGTCACAAATCAATATACTGCTGTGATTGGATCTGAATGAAGGAGAACTTAATGATGCCCTTTAGAACACTACAAAGCATTGAGGCAACAATTCACTCTTTCAACATAATTAGAAAACATATATCTCCGGTACTACGAAAAGAGCCCTTTACCAACTCACGAACATAGAAGCTTAGCAAGTACCTGAAGAAGGGCAAAAAGATCTGGTCTCAAAAGCTCCAACTTTAATACAGCTCATTTTTACCCAAAAGACAACAAACTTGCAGGTCCGTTGAACCATTTGATAAGAGAGAGGCAATCTCCTTCTGTCGCATAGTTGAGTCTAAATATACTATGATTCATCGAGCGTCTCATCACTAGCAGAGTAGTACCACCCACAAGAACAGCAGAATCAACAAGCTAAACCCATATCTTGGTTCCATGACCTGTCCTGCACACCACCTTAAGATGGAAAAGTACTAGTGATAAGTAATGCTATCGACACAAAATTTCCCATAGAGAAACCCACGATTTTTTACTAGGAGGAAAAGATTTCCTTTAAGGTCCTTTAATAATTTAACTTCCGGAAGCAATGCGCACTTCATCAAGGAGATCTTCTCGCAATGTCAACCCTGCTTCTTTCATCTGATATAGAAGCTTAATGGCTTCAATTGAGAGCCCGTGCTTTATGTAATTCTTGATCATGGCATTCCAAAATATAAGGCTCTTCTTGTTCTTAACCATGTCAAAAACTGTCCTTGCATCTCTCAATAAACCCAATTGTCCATACATGTCAACCAACCCACTCTGCACGAACGCATCTGACTCCACTCCAACCTTAATGGCTTTAGCATGAACCTGCCGACCACAATGTCCATCGTCCTTAACTCTGCCACATGCCTTGAGAACACTCAAAAACATGGATGTACTCTTCCGAATTCCTGCCCTCTCAATTTCCCTGAAGTTACTAAAGACCATATCATACTGATGTCCACTGCAGTCATACGCAAGTTTGGCCGTCCAGATAGCGGAATTGTGGGTAGACAATTGCTGAAAGATAATGTTAGCACAGTCCCCGCACTTGAATTTCCCATAGAACTCGATCAACGATCTAGGTAGGGGATTCTCACCGCCACTACCCTGCTTCAATAACCAACCATGAACTTGCTCACCGAGATCCTTATTCGCACTATGTACACAAGCCTTCAACATACACACAACTATCCATGGAGGAACTTCACTCACATTGATACAGCAAAGCATCCTCACAAACAGCCTTATGGCTTCCTTATACTCACCCTCTTCCACATAACCGACAATCAAGATAGCCCAAGAACTGAAGTCCCTCTGGAGCATTCCCTCAAACACTTTGCGGGCACTAACCAAGCAACCACAGGACACGTACATTAGCAAGACCCGGTTAAGCAAATGCAAATTCGGTCTCAACCCGCTACGCCTGACGTGTTTATGAAGCTCAAGTGCTCCGGCAGAGTCACCATTTGCCGTGCACTCTTTGATCAACGAAATGTAAATATCGGGTGAAACAGTCACGCCGAGGCCATCCAATAAGCGCAAAACGTCCGTGGTCGCACTCAAGGCGCTGTTATTCTTCTTCTCGGTCGGAATCTTACGACCTTCGGAGGCGGGATGAGAGTCAATTGTGGAAGGATTCGTTTGTGGGGTTGGAGTTTGGAGTTCGAGAGGGCGGGTGCGAAGCTTTTTGGGGCTGCGAAGAGGAAGATGGACATGAGTGTGGTTCGACGGAGGACGAGCTTTGGTGGTGCCGGTTTTGGTGACCATCAAGGCGCGAATTTTAGCTGTGCGTAGGTAGAGAGAGGTTTGAGGCGGCGGTCTCAGAAATGGAGGTGACGATGATGATGCCATTTTCGATCCCATGTCAAAGTCAGATTGTCTCCTAATTCCTCACCTTAACTTCTTGCGCGGTTTCATCAAGTACGATTATCTGCACACGATTATGTCCTTCCCACTAGACCTGTTAGACGGGTGAGTCGGGTCGGGTTTGAGTTGGGTCATAAATGGTCCGACTCAAATTGACACATTAACCCGTTTATGGCCCATTTATTTATAGTGTAAATATCTCGACCCATACCCGACCCGACCCATATTGCTAAAACACTTTTATATTTAAGCTAATCTAGGAATACTTGTTTCTTGCGATTTTTTTTTTAAAATTATACTGCTAAAACATTTTATGCAATACAAAGCTAGTGAAAAAAATTTATAATTTTTTTTAAAATTGAGGTTCTGTTTGTTTTACAAAAAATGCGACATTTCTAAAAAATATTTTCCATAAAGTCATTATCCAAGAAAATAAAAAAAAAGTAATATTTTTTTATTTTTTCAATCGAATTTTTAATTATTTTTTATTTTTCTTTTTATTTTTCTTTTTTTCTTTTTCCTTTATTTTTGGCCGGTCGCCGGCCACCACAGGCGAGGACGAGCTCACCGGAGGCCGGCAAAGCTCGTTCTCGCCGATCTGGCGAGGCCGAGGCAACCTCATAACCACGACACAAAATAAAAAAGGAATATGGCACAAAGGTCACTAAGTTCTGATCCAATATGAAATATCATCTCTAAACTTTAAATTTATTTAATGTGATCTTTGAACTCTAATCCAATAAAAAAGGGTAAATGATACAAACGGTCAATGAGATTTGATCCAATATGAAATGTCGTCGTAAACTTTTTCTTTTTTGGTCGTCCATGAACTTTAAATTTATTCAATGGGGTCCTTGAAATCTAACCCAATAAGTAATGTCATTCATTAACTTTTAATGTTCAATGTGGTCCATAGAATTTTTTTATGCATGTTCAATTTAGTCCCTAAACTGTATGAAATATCCGATGTTATCATTCCATTAATTTAAGTTTAGGGATAACATTAAACATTTTTATACAGTTTAGGGATTAAATTGAACATGTACCAAAAGTTCATGGGCCATATTGAATAAACTAAAAGTTCAGGGACCACATTGCACATTGGGCTAAAGTTCAAGGACCACATTAAATAAATTTAAAGTTTAGGGACCACATTGCACGTTGAGCCAAAGTTCATGGATCATTTGTGTCATTATCCCAAAATAAAACAACGCCTTTGCACCACTTGAAACTTGAAAGAAAAATTCTTGGTCTTGCATCATATGGAGAGTAGAAATATTAGAAGAGGAGCGCATATGAGCTTTTTATTCACCAACCCAACCGTTTTAGATCCGTTTATTTAGCGGAAAATGAATGGTTTAGAAAACATTATCCCAAAAATGATCGCTTGTATCTCTTAAAATAAATAGTCAATAAGAAATGTTTTCGTTATCGACAATAATTTATGTCTAAACATTTCGTTGACATTGAAAATATTTTTTGTTCATCATTTTTGTAAGCGACTCAATTGATCGTTTTTAAGAAAATATTTTCTAAATCATTCATTCTCTGCGAAACAAACGGAGCTTCAATCTGTTGTGCTTGTTTTCATTTCCCATTATTTTCTCAATTAGGATTTTACAACTCAAGTATTTTTTTATTTTTTAAAAATTCGAAACAATTGAACCTTTGAGAAAATGTAAATTCACATGCAAATTTTGTCCATATTTTTTATATCTAATAATTTTACAAATAATAATTTTACAATTATGGGACAAAATTGAGAAAACATCGTGTTATTTCCATTAGTACAGTCAAAACAGTCCTTTTAGACTTTTTAAAGTGACTTGCAATGATATATCTTTCGAATTCAACTATAACAAAACTCGACATATTTATGTTTAGATAATTTTTGTTATTATGGTATGGTAGCCTATGAATATATATCAACGAAGTCTTATCAGTTGAAAATAGTTTCTTGCGGTGGAGCACGGGCGCATTTCTAGTGCTTTCCTACCAGAGAGATCTAAGTTCCTCTTTGTTTCCCGATAGAATTGCAGGCAAACCAACATATTCACTACAAATTAAGCTTGACTTGCTTTTTGCATATCAGAAATTGACATTGAGTAGTCAAAACCGCGAACAGAAACATGAAAATTGTTCAGGATCAATGCAAGTCCGCTTATAAGATTTTCACAATGCAACAAGTAAAACATCGACAAGCTCTAGCATCTTATAAGAACAAGAACCCTGGTTTCCCAGCAAGTGTTTGAGGACAACATCGAGCTATTCAACAAAATAAGGCATGAATCATGAGTAAGGGCAGCTTACCCTGAATCTGGAAAGAATCTCCAACGATCCAGCTTCGATCAAAACAGATCATGTCCTTAATTTGAAAGGTACCGTAGAAATATGCGTATCAAATCATGAGATGCTCTAGACACATGCATGGATTTCTCAAGGAAAGATGCTCATCTTTTGCCCGTAGAAGATAACATAATGGTCGGCATCACACGTCGTCAAATGCTCAATGAAAACCCTCTGGATCATAAATTATAGATTCTTATACACGAATTGGCATTTGTTGAAATATTGTTTGCCGGGAAAGTTTGAATAGAATCATGGGCCAACTTAATCGACCACAAATATAAGATTTCGAGTCAATGGGTTCCAAAATAACACAAAAGAATAATGTTGCGATCGTTGGTTAAAAGACATTCGTGATAAGTACCCAGTGCTTCAATCAGAGTATAATTGAATGAAGAAGGCATAGTTGTCAATCGATGCAGAGTGAAAATTATTCTTAGAGGTGATATGCTACTTCAAATAAGATGCCAAAGAAGGCTTTTTCGGCTCGCCAAAGATTTGGTTCGCTAGGAACATAAGCACTTGTTATCCTTTTTGCTACTGTTACATGAGGGGCAATACTTCCTGGAGAAACTATTTCATGAGAGACAGAAACAGGAGTTAAAAAACAAAATGCTTTCGGTCAATGATAGCTTCGAAGAGAACCGTGTAGATAAAACAATCAGTGGGCATGCATTGCTGAAGACAGGCACCACATGAAACTCCTGGAGGACATGGCCGTGACTTGACAACTTGATTGGAAGCTTCTGGTTCCCAAAGCTTTCACCCCGTTAATCTTTAACTCCAACCCACCCAAATAGCAGTATGTTATTCGCACTCAAATGAATGGTTCGAAGAAGTACCTGATAAGCCTACTCTCCTAGTCATGCTGGGTAACTGCAGTCACATTCGGTTGAATTTGCCAAAATCTGTACAAGTCACCAGTGCAGTGACTAATGACAATAAAGAAGAAAACCATGCCAAAAGTTCAAGTCCTGGACCACGTGAAGATCTTTTCTCTCTTCAACTCGAGGCATCACCAAAAGCCATGCAACAGGCTCGGCCCAAATCAGCATCTTTAGATCACACTGCACTCGAAGATGCCATGCGACCTGCACGAAGCCTAGTAGGTAAAGGCCTGGCAATTAGTCCATCACTTATCCAGCCCACTGTCTCTGCATCATCTTTGACATGCTTAAATTCCCTCTGCACATACTCCAATGATACACGTAGCCTTCCACTGGCTCCGCAGTCACGATTGACGCTTGTGGCCATAATTCCAGCATTTCTCTCCAACCAGTACAGATAATTGACATGGAACAATGACTTAAGCATGTCTTGTTGCGAAGAGTTCTCTTTCAGCACAACCTGATTCACACCAATTTTCTTATTTCTCAATAGAATTTAATAGATATAATAAGTGAAAGTCCTAAACCAACATGGTGCTACCTAACCATTACAAATGAAGCACAAAGGCTTAGATTAAATGAAAAATGTCTGTTTTCCATTAACTGAGTCTCCAACCTTATTTGGGTAACTTTTATACTTTCACAAAGTCCTTTAGATTGGTCAAACTAACTACATGGTACCACTCCATCAATAAGCCATTGGTGGAAATCAGGAATCTAAAGGATGTGCTGGATGACAGAGAAGGATAAAGCTAGACATGATATGGGAAGGGAAGAGTGAAATCATCAAGACCAAGCAATAATAAACAAAATTCACTTACACAAAATTTTCCTAGGTACTCTGTCAGAATGTAGCCTTCGTTTCTGAATAAATCAAATAGTGCCACAACGTCCTCCTTGTGGTTGATAACATCGCTGAGCTTGGAACCTAGCTGCAGCCGGCACTCAATTTGAGCAGCTGCTTCCTTCGCTTCCGGAGATAGTGCACTGGATTGTGCCTATGGTGAAAATTATTGATGAGATTCCAACAACACAATTATTCAAATCTCGGTTTTTTTTGGCTTTTGCAGTTCTTTAATGGATACTAAAGTCATTTGATAAAAGAAAAGGTCATTTAAGAAGCTGCAACAGATGGTGATGAATCATGACTTGGAAATTTATCATCTCCCATATTCAGAATTCAGGGATACAACCAAATAAATAATTAGCAGCTATGGCACAGTTACCTCATCACCGATGAAACTCAAAAATGCATGGAAAAATATCAACATCAAATTCAGGCTACAGTGATTTGCAACTATTGAAGTCCTAGAGACCAAAGCTACGAGCATCTGAGACAAAATGATCTCAAGGAAAACTAGTTCTGGCGTCCAAGCCAATACGAGATACAAGCACAACACCCACGTATGTATAAATGTAACGTAGAGTACAAGAAAGAGATCAACCATGATTTTCCTAATCATTCTGCAATGCTGCTCAACCTTAATACACTCAAATCCTCGGAAATCTTAAATATCATTAGCAGTGGCTGACTAATAGCAGATATAATTACATTAGAAGAAAAATACAACTCTCACCTTTTTCAATGTTCCATTGAGATAGGGCAGGGCTGGGAAAAGTGGTTCTTCATCATTGACCTCCTTCACTGAAGGTGCTTGACCACTCAGTAGGTACTCACTGAAAACCAAACCTGATCCAGAATATACAGAACACCACCATATACAACCTTTAGTAATGTAGATAGGAAAAGATAAAATTGTGAGCTAGGATATCATCAGAACAATGTTCTTTCTACTTTTATTTTGAGTCCATTCAATGATCCCTCATCACTCAATTTTACAAACTAGCAACTTGGACAAGAACTGTACTTGAGAAGTATGCGATGGAAAGCATTCGCAAGAATTTAAATATGTCATCATCACCTTAATGTAGTAGGCACATGAAAACGTTTCAAAGTGATTTCTGTTAGGACTAAGGCTAAACAAATATTTGCAAGTTAATCAAGCCAACTTGACTTTCAGCTTTATAGGAATATCCAGTTCAAGTCATCCAAATTGAGAGTGAAGTCAAATTTGCGTATTCATATTAGTTGGTTTGCAAGGCTACTGGAGCATCACTTTTTTATTTTAGATATTTAATACATGAGTGACGGAGCACCCTAAACATTTAGTGGATTATAAATGCCAAGCTTAAGGGAAGATTTCATAAGATAGGGATACAACCAGTGTGTGTTATCACTAAGAATGCTCTACGGTCATAAACCAACATGTTTAGATGATGAGTATTGCAGGATAAGTGACTGACGACATTAATCAAGGATAAGATGGAAAAAGCTCACACAAAATGGGTTGCACCGTTGAAGGATGGCCTTCAGATGTTCCCATTAGAAAATGTGGTTACTAAGGTGGTGCATATAGAAAGAGGCAAAAGAAGACCTAAGACAAGGAGATATAAACCGGATCTTATAAAGGACTTGATAGATAAAGGGCCTAATGGTGACAAAGAATTGCACTCGGTCAACTACGCTTAGTGAAATGAGCTTAGTTGTTGTCATTAATATTCAAGCTCCTAGCTCAGGGTGAGCTTGATTTTCACAACACAGTAGAATCAAGCAAACTTCAGTAAATAAAAAACATCATCGATTCATTCCAAGCAATGTAAGAAACTCCATCTGCGTAGAGTCAGTACTAGTAATTTAACGTGCAACAAGACTTGGCCTGAGGACATAGTTTTTCTTTGACTGTCTGATGCAATTCCTTTGACTTGGGAAAGTATATTGAAGGTTTATGATCACTGCAAAACTTATAGACCTTACTCCAACCATAATGGTAAAATTTATTAATTAAAAATACAAACTGCTATGGCATTCATTTGTAAAAGAACATGCTCTATACTTGTTTTAGGGCCGACATGGCTGGGCAGTGTATCCGAAGAACTCAGACAAACACTCGCCTCTTCCATGTGACGACAACATAGCGGAAGACAAACAACTTCTGAATGACTAGATCGTGAAATAACCTAATCAACAGATGCGGACAGATTCTTTTCTTTGAAACATATTTCATGATAATTCACATATACAAACAAAAGGATAAGGGCTTACTTCCACGATAAGGATTTAAAGTCCTCAGATGAATCGATTGGTATGACTTAAGATTGCAGAACATATGGACCCAAGTCACCACAGTAAAAGAAGCCAGTGCAAGAGGTGTAGAGGAGCCTATGGCATTTGCCAATGCTATACCAAGTGCGATACCAATAGACTTGCTCACCATTCCTTGTGCCTCACCCTTGGCAATCACCTACAGTCAACACGAACATTCAGAACTGAACATGACTCATTAGCAGTAATGCACAATGATGTCAGCACACAAATACAGATCAAAGGGTAAAAATTAAGGACGTACATCTACTTGAAGCCAAAATTTTTACCAAGATAACAACAAAACAGACAAAGCCAATAGAAAATGTATTCACCTCAGCGAAGTTCCTCTGAGCAGCAAAGCCAGCATAAAAGCAGCTCCTGGTGGACGCCTGACAGAGCCAACTTTCAGTAACTGTGTGACATTATATTATCCGGTATGAGAATAACATAATGCAAGACAAACTAAGTACAAAAAAAAAACAACCACCGCTTATTACCCCAGAGGGAAACACCAATGCCAAGTCATAAGCTCCAGCACTTATGAGTTGTAATTAGGTTACCCTTGAAAAGAGGGAGAACACATATTGATGATAACATATTAGTCAGGAAAAGGCAAACAAAGAAGCAATTGATCCAAAAACAAAAGAGACGCTTTCATAACTCGTCAGAAAAGTTGGTTATAAATAAATTGAGAGAAAAAAAAAAGTCTAAGGAAAGAAATCCAATTATGGTGGAGATAACAGGCTGTATTAAAGTAGCCCATATGCATTCCCAGAGGACTCAGTCTCAGCACAATTGCTAAGAGAAACGCAAATAATATAAGAGCAAGTGATTCTAACTTCTATAGAAACAAAGCAAACAAGCACAACGTTCAAACATGGGACAAAAGGTTAATAGAGATTTTCATTGATATATCGAACAGAATAGTCAATATTGTACAATGCCCATCGACTTATTTCTGCAAGACACAGAGAAAACGATTTTATTGTATCAATTGAGATGGCAGGGAGCATTAAAAACTCAAATCTATCTGACTATTTGACTGAGTGAATGGTCACAGCTCAGAATTCCAGGATTCTTCTTGAAGTAATTTCACTTCCTTCAACACTGGATAAGCAAGATCAATCTAAGAGCCGGAAGCTTAATCTTCGATAGTGATTGTCTAACATGTTAGAAACAACCCTGTTTCAAAATAGTATAAGAAAGAAATATAGAGGCTGATAAATATCGATTTGAAATAAACACACAACTTGATAACCACCTGAATGAGAGCAGCTGCTGAGCGTCCTGCTCCTGCAACAGCACCAATGAAAACAAAAAGATGTGGGAAGGCAGGAGTCAACATTTCCATTCCAAAGGCAGCATTTTCCAACAAATCAGCAAAAAGCCTCCACCCCTTTGGATGGACATCAAAATGCCGTCCAAATTTCGAGAGGAAAATCTTGCTGAGGTACCCAATCCCATCCTTCAGCACCCAATTCACGGCAGCAGCTGTAGGAATAGCTCCTTTTCCTAAACCAACAGCATAAAGCAAGGCCTACACAAATAACATATCATACGTACATAACCACGAGGCACCAACAATTGCAAAAACACTTTTGTCATGTTGCTGAGCAAATGCTGAAGAGGATTGAGTTAGGAAAAGCTATATTACGCCTCACGTAGTAAGTGGGAAAGACTTGCAACCTTTGCTTTAAAAAATCTACACTTTATATCATTGAGTTCAGTTCTTCAGCTTTTCCGGCAACAAACTTTTGCATACATCTTAGGAGAAGAATTCAAACCTCTCATTGTTAATTCTTGTGGTTTTTTGTTAGTTGATCTGTCCTTTAAGACCCTTGCTTGCTGGACATTGCCAGTGACAAATCTCTTAAATCACCAGCAATATTGGGGGCATATTACATTCCTCAAAATCAGTCGCAACGGAAGATTAGCGATTACCAATTACTCTCCTCTTCCTTTCTCTCCTTCATTTCAGATACAACTGAAATTTGAAACTCCATCCCACAGCTATAAAAAGTTTTTCAGAATAAAAGAGCTTTCTTTAAATCTTGTAGGAGTAAATGAGATTATCAGGCCAAACCAACCAGAATTCCTAGAGCGACAGTCATGAGGGATATCTCCGTAACAAGTTACAACTTTTTCCAAGGAGCAATTACAATGATGCATAATGTTAGCAATTACCCCAATACGATGCAAAAGTACACTCCGTCCTACATTAAACAGGCGCTCTAAAAGCATCATTACTAAGTTACAAAGTAACACACGGCTTTAGAGCTATTTCAAGGAAACATGTGCACTACCTGAGTGGCAAGAACACCACTGATTTGACTCGCAATGCCTTGAACTCCTCTCCAAAGAGAATAATCCAAATAATCACTGGTGACGCTGTCAGGATATCCTTCAGGAAGCATCAACCGCATGAACAAGCCCCTGCACTGCAACCACAGATTGGGGAAAACGCCGGGAGCAAACAACTTCTCATCTCCGAAACCGAAGCCCCCCGGCGAAGCGACCACGAAAGCGTCCTTGTTGCGAGGATCACGGACAAGCTTCGTCCAATTGCCTCCCTGCACTTCCCAAACGACACCTTTCTCTTCCTCCTCCTGCCCGAGAGCAGCTCTCGCCAGCGCCGAGGCAGGTATTCGAAATGCGCAGAAGTGAGAAACGACCGAAACGATGACGAACAAAGCCGATTTGTTCACGAAGCTGCTCCTGCCGGTCAGCGCGCGGGAGCAGAGAAAGAGAACGAGAAGACGACCGAGTGGAGAGCCTCCGCCGCCGCCGCCGTCGCGATTCCACCACCCGGAGAATCCATCGGAACCGCCAAAACCGCCGCCGCCGCCGCCGCCGGAGTTGTCGTCTCCGCCGCTGGGGATAGGGAGCTCAGGGCTTCCGGGGGCAGCGAGCGCGAAGAATTGGGCGGTCAAGTACGTTGACTTCGATGACTTGAGATGGAATGGCGGCAACGAGAGGGAGCGCCTTGGCGCCGGCGCGAGAACAAGGTCGCTCCGGTGGGGACGCCGTGGGGGGAGAGGCGGAGAGAGGCGGAGGAAGGAGAGCCTGCAGGCGCAGGCCATCGTTTCGCCGCCGCCGCCGCCGTCGCCGCCGCCGTCGCCGCCGCCGTCCTCGTCCAACGCCTTTCCACCTTGGCTTAGCGCAGACGGCGGTTCGTTTTCTTCCTCGTTACGATTATGATTCGAGTTCTCCTACCTCTACCAAATACAAACTTCTGAAAAATTAGAATTTTTGGTCCTTGTACTTTCTGAAGTGTCCAAATTCAGTGCTCGTACTTTGTTTTTGTAGTGATTCTAATCCCCCGTGCCATCGATTGACCAGATTTTAAGTGCGATTATTTGTATTTACATTCCAAATAAGACTTAAAGATGACATTGGCTATTACTTTATAGTTAATGTTGATGCTTTCGTTAGTAATGAATGAGGAAATCTTTTGTAAACTCATTTAATATTCGAGAATTGAATTGGATAAGAAGAACTCCATGGATTGTCTAAAATACTTTGCCCATCAGTTGAAATTGTGATTAGTATATCCAAGAGTTGGGTAGTTTTCGAAAAAGCCTGACCTAAATATGTGTATTTCAATTTGAACTAGAAATGAGGATGCTATTGTCGAATACAATGGAATTGATTTTAGTGGGATTGTAAGTCTTGTTTGGTTCAGCATTTGGAATGCTTATTTAGGCTTTAAAGTCCCTTGGTCAAATGCAAATGGTGTTTGGCAACTTTTTTTATTCACTTTGGGGAGATGCAATTACATTTCCAATGCTCTCTAAGGGATTTTTGGCCAATGCAAAGTTTGAAGTGCCTTGAGAAGTTGCATTTTTGAAATGCAACTTTCCCTGTTCATCACGCACTATTCATCTTCCCCAGACAGCAGGTCCGGCGGTCAGCGACAGCCGCCTAAGAGCTAGCTCGACCCCAGCGACCACCGCCTGAGGGTCAAGCGACCCAGGCGACGCCTGAGGTCCGTCTATTCCAGGCAGGGGTCACCGGGGTCGAACGACTCCCAGGCAACCGTCTCCTGAGGTCCCGTGACCTCAAGAGGTGGTTGCCGAGGTCGCGCGACCTAGGCGACGCCGCTTGAGGTCGCCGGACCTCGGGCGTCGCCTGGGTCGCGTTGCTTGGGTCACGCGACCCAGGGCGTCACCCGAGGTACGGCGACCCCAGGTAGTGGTCACCGGACCTCGGGTGTCGCCTAGGTTGCGTGATCCAAGCGTCGCTTGAGGTCGTGCGACCTCAAGCCACCTTGCCTGAGGTCCGGCGGCAGTGGCGGGCAACTAGATTTAGCCGTTGACGGTTGGCCGGTGACTAGATCTGGCCGGCAGCGGTGGCTAGTGGTGAAGTTCCACCGGAAAATTTCTTTTTTTTTTAAATATTAGCAAAAGTCCTTTACAAAATATAGTTTTTACCAAACGATATTTAGGCCAAAATTGCTTTCAAATGCGATTTTAAAAAATACTTACCAAACACTACTTACATTTCAAAAAACCCCTTTAGCCCAAAGATATTTGCATTTCCCCAAAGTCGAATCAAACGGGTCCTTAGTCAGATTGTGCGCACTCATATATAAAAGAACCGTCGATTAAGTTTGTCTTGATTTAACATTTCCATGTGATTTCTTATGGAAACGTAATGAAGTAATTGAGTTTTCGTTAAAATATAATATAAGGATTAAATTTGGTCGCTCAAACAAAGTATAAGGATTATAGTTGGCAGTATTATTGGTAATTTCTAAAAAGATTTAGTAATGTTGGTAAGCAAGAAAATAAAAGTACAACTGGTTAGTCTATAGAAAAGTTATCAAATTAAAAAACAAGTTAACGTTGTTAAGCAACTCGAATGAGATTCCGTAAATCGTTTGAAAATTAACCTATTATGAGAAAAGCTAATACGTCATGCAAATAAAGGTTAATAAATTCTCAATAAACGACAACAATAGTTAATAAGTTGAATAAAGAAAACCAAATCAGCGTTGGTAAGTAAATCGAGTGAGAGTTGGTAATTTAATTGGAAACAAGTTGTCAAGTCACTTAGATAAGGATTGATACATTCATATAAAAGTTGGTAAATTTAAGATGATGGTAAGAAGACAAATGAAAATTGATAAAAGATGTTAATACAAATTTTTTTCTAAAAGATCGTGTTTACATAAAATTGAAAGTTGTTTTTCCGCAAAAATATTTTATGTCAAATTCTTGCATATAGATTACCTAGGCATTTAGTATAGTTTTCAAATGGAATTATTTTTCTCAAAATTTACTTTCAAACAAAAAATTATGGCCGAGGATTTGAATGTGACTAGTTGGGGCCAAAATGCAATTTCCAAAAGTTGAGGGACCGATTCGCAAATTTTACAAAATTTGTTCAAGCCCTTAAATCATCATTTTTATTACTTTGACCCCTAATTAAGGTTGAAATTGAGCTTGAGCCAGGCCAAATTGATCAAATAAAGCCATAAGGACCAAATTGAATCAAATTCGTCATTCCCGGGCAATAATATGGCCAACTTTGAGGGACTTTCTTTCAAGATCAGGCAGAGGAAATTACAAAGTCTGGTCAGAGGCTTAGAGTAATATATGAAATTGCCAATTGATCAAAAACTCCAGCAAAATTGATAGATTAAAGCAATCAAACCAGCTACCAAAACCTAGTCTACGATTTGGCCCCAATTCGAAGCTGCTGAGTAAGCAATTTCGTGCCCTCACTATATCCTACTCAGCTTCCCAATCGACCTTATCTCTGGGTAAGGTGGAAGGCGACAATTAGATCTGCAAATAGACAAAAATTAGCCATGGATAAGCTGATGAAGGGGTGCGAAAATCTCAACCAAATCAGTCAGCTTAGCAGCGGTACAAGTTTGAAAAATCTGACAGTCGGAGAGTTGGTGAAATAGCTCACTTGGTAGCCTTGGTGTGTGGGCAAGGACCAACCAAAAGCTAGCTTAAATTAGTGGATAAACTCTCGAAAGAAGGCTCCTCTCAGTCCCTTGATCGGCTGTAGACTCGTTCAAGTTAAGGCGAGAAAAGTGTACCGGAGTAAGCCCACAAACCTGGAAAACCCAGAAAAGTTTTCCGCGAGTGCTGAAAGTAGATGGCCACCGACAAGGACAAGTGAGAGTTTTTGAGAAACATGAGGAGTATGTGAGGCAAACCATGACTTAGGAACTGAACTAGAATAAATCTAGTCGGTGTTTATGTCAAAAAAGTCGACAAACGAGGTTCTGGAGTCTGGTTTTGGAGACCACCAAAAACCTTCGTTATTAGTTATTTTGCTTTGCAGAACCCATTTTCCAGCTCGAAGGAGCCAACTTCCAGGCGCCTTCAAGAGACAATTTCTTGACTTCCTCGGTCAAGAACCACCTTAAACAGAAACTATGAAGTAATTTAAGGACCCTAGATGTGTTTTTGTTCACTTTTGACTTTTTTTTTAGGGTTAATACCACGAAAAACCCTAAACTGGTACACTTGTGACACATTTACCCCAAACTATTTTTTTGACCATAAAAACCCAACCCAGTACACCCGTGACAATTTTACCCGAACTATTTTTTGACCATAAAAACCCCAACTGTACATCATGTGACAATTTTACCCTGCTGCAACTTACCATAAAAAACCCCAAACTGGTACATATGTAACAATTTTACCCTAAATTAAAATTTTAATATTATTTTTTTATTTTTTTCCTTTTATTTTTTTTTCTTTATCTTCAACTTCTGGCCGGTCGCCGGTCCGGCGACCGGCCAGAGGCGGAAGCCGGCAAGGGCCACCCTCGCCGGCGTCGGGCGAGGGCCGTCCTCGCCAGATCCCTCGCCCTCGCCGGTATCGGGCGAGGGCCGTCCTCGCCAGATTCGGCGAGGGCCGCCCTCGCCGGTATCGGCCGAGGGTTGCCCTCGCCAGGCGGCGAGAGTTGCCCTCGACCTCAGCGAGGCGCCCTCGCCCGGCCGCGAGGCACCCTCGCTTGGGCGGGCGAGGACGGCCCTCACCCGAGTTGGGCGAGGGTCACCCTTGCCGAGTCGAGCGAGGGCGGCCCTCACCAGCAGCTGCCGAGGGCGGCCCTCGCCGACTTCCGCCTCTGGCCGGTCGCTGGACCGGCGACTGGCCAAAGGTTGAAGTGAAGAAAAAAAAAAAAAAGAAAAGAAAAGAAAAAATTCAAAAAATAAAAAAAATATATTAAAAATTAGTTGGGGTAAAATTGTCACATGTGCATGGGGGGTTTTGTGATGTTCGGGGTAAAATTATCACAGTGTACACGTTTTGGGTTTTTATGGTCAAAAAAATAGTTTGGGGTAAATATGTCACAAGTGTACCAGTTTAGGGTTTTTCGTGGTATTAACCCTTTTTTTTATCATGGAAAGTCCAGAGGAACATGAGCCCAGAAAACTTATTTTTGTGGCTGGAAATTCTAGTGTTGAACCAATTCAAAGAGTCTTGCATGTTTGACTTGCTATGTCCCTTTTTATGTATTATCTGTCGTCTAGAGCTTGATAGATGTTACATGGGAGTACAAATGATGCATAGGTCAGCTCGTTTTGGTCTTTAAATCCCCGTGTGAACCATGAGATTGCTTAGGACTAGAGCAAAAAACAGAGTCAATCCATACTAGTTCATGGCTGGCCAGTGTAGCTTGCGAGTAGACTATTTGGAGAGGTCGTTTTGATGTGTGTAGTTGATCATTCTCCAAGATGCTTGTTTCATTTGAAACTTAATGTTACATAGTTTCATTCGGATTAATTATATGTTCATGAGTGTAAACCCTGTGGTAAGTATCGGGGCTGGAATCTGAGCAAGCAACCTATTTGCCTGACTTGGGTTCAAACCCAGATTTGAAAAACAGGTCAGACTGGTAAATTTGAGGCTAATTTCAATCGTGTTAGTATGTGTTTTAGGATGATATTTCCTCTTAATCTTGTTCTATGCATGTTTTAGTATAACATTGATGCTTTATTTGTACTTAATATCGTTTATAGGTGGAGATTGAAAGCTATGAACATGGATCGGAGACACAAGCTTGGGCAATACAATGCACACTAGTTGTTCGACGAAATGCCCAAACCAAGTTTCAATCTTGAAAAGGTTGATTTGAGCTTGGTTAACGTGATTTTCCTGTTCTGAGTCGCTCTCTGTTCACGTAAATCAAGCATAGATCGGTTTAATGAATAATTTTTATTGGGAAAATTTC